GCAACACGATCAATTAATATACGTTACCAGTTTCGGGATACGCGAAGATCGTTTTGGAGAGTCCCGTTGTCACACTATATTTCTATGTTTTCAGTAAGGAAGTATTTTCAAGTTCACTGGTGAAAATATTTGAAAACCCACCGTTCACTTTGTCCAAACGCGTTTCGATATAGTATACGTTATTCAGCGATAAAAAATCATACGTCGATTTATTTTAAACGATCTAACAACAGAAAAGATGCCACGGGACAGATTGAACTTCGATTGACGAAGGGAGAGTGGAAAGTGAGCAGAGTTACCATTTGAAATGTGGGCGGCTTCGTAACGCGGCTTATCATAGCGGGTGTTGCTGATATGGGATGAGTCGGTGGAATCTGTATGTAATTCTGTGTCGACTACAGAGGAACGATCGATCTATCGACCGAACGAAGCCCCAGAATCACATATTGGCTTCATATTCCTAACACTTTGACGCATTTCCCGTTACTTTTAGTACGTTCCAGTAAACAAAATCACAACGTAAGAATTGTCTCTCGTGAGAATTGATTTGAAAAAAAAAATGACTGTTTAGTTCAAAATGTCCGACAGCTGTTCTTATAGGATTACTTATTGTAATATTTAACCAACTTTTTAATATAGTTCATGAAACTATTTGTATATTATATACATATCGAGGATACATGTTCTATTTTATTTATTAATTTCAATACTTTAATTATAAGAAACTGATCTATGTATTCTACTGATCTATTCTACTGATTAGTCTTAAGTAAAATTACATGCTATGTGTACATTAACCAATAATACACGAAAAAGATAATGAAACAGAAACTAAAGTTTATCTGAGAAGAAAGAATACACCTACATACATATATATGTATGACTCTATGTACATACTTATCCCTGGACGCTAGCAACCTGTATCAGCTAGTTTGCTGACACTGGCTAAATACTTTCAGGCGTCATGCGGCCACTTGTCAGGCAGGGAACTGTATGTATGTTCGCCGCGTACATATGCATACGAGGTACCAATAGGTACCTTGTCGTCAGTCCAAGAGGGAACAATATAGAAATTATGAAAATCGTCACACATTAGGCACTCAAAATTTATTAAACAAGAAAATTCTTACTATTTAATAATACAAATCCTAACGTTTAACCAACATAGCAGATACAATACAATCACAGAACAAAAATGCTCGTTAAATCTGAGGATCGTTATTGGACGATGGACGTTCTGTTTCCATCATCGAAGCTAAAATATCGTAAGTATTTAAATAGGTATTTGAGCTACAAATCGGAACTGATCGGAACGATTACGAAAGCAACGAGAAGCAAGCGTAATAGATAGTTCAAACGTGTGCATATTGAATACATTTTAATACCACAATTTCGTCTAAATATTTGGTGTTCACAGAAATAGCTGACAGATTTTCCGAACCGAAATTTCAATATTTTATGAAATTCAATAAAATTTAACCCCCCATGACGTTTTGTAAGTTTGAGGTTACATATACCTGCACATTAATACTTTTTACATTTATTATCGTTTCCATATTTATTCTGACATCGTATTAAAAACAATTATATTTCTTATATGAGAACACTTATAACATGAATTCTTTTTCTTAATTTATATTCTATATAGTTTTTATCTATTTATTCCTTTCAAAGTGGAATACAGTTATTGAATTATATGGGATCAAAGGAGTGAAGACTTCTCGTTGACTTCCATAAAGTTCTTTAATTATACTGAAAAAACAAAAAGAAATCAGGGAAACGGTATTTACGCTTCGTTCATGGAATTGCATCTATATAGTCGAAATACGCAGTTTTAATTGGTTCATATACGACCCAATGTAACCGTGTCGAATAGTGAATGAATCGAAGCTATTGATTTTTGGCTATCATTCGATCGTTCGACTCGCATAAAAATAATTACTTGCATGTATTCTCATCTATAGTTAATTACATGATTATACTTCTTTCTAAACATTCAGATCGTTACTGCTTCAAATGCAAATACAGCTACGCTATATACGAGGTGTCTCAACAGTTTCGTTGCGGATAAATCGAGCGCGAGCGTTTCGTAGAGCACGTTCAAGCACATAAGTAAAGTAATCTTATCTTTAAAAAAATCGCTGTTACGAAGGAGCGAAAGTGATCGGACATTACCGTTTTCTCTCGTCAAATATAAAGTAAGTCTTGGTTTCTTCATTTATACTATATAGTAAACAATACAAATTTGCAATATACAAAAATTAAAAGATAATTAAATGATATAAAGAGATACTTTACAAACGTATTTATGATTAATGGATATACACATATGTATATATAATTCTCTCGTCCATGTAAATGGTTTTACATTTATTTCAATGAGACACCTAGTATAATCACAATGATACAACAACTATGTAATTATCGATACCATTTTTAATAAATACACCTATCCCCTCAGCAAGAACAGTGTTCACATCGTATGATGTAGGTAAATAGTCGTTATTATAAAAACTGAAGTTCAGGCGGAAGTTATAAACACTGTATTAACAATATTATAATAACTAATTATTACATTTTCGTGTGTATTGTTGTCATTATAATAGATACAAAAGTTTCGACAGTATCGATTCGATCTGTTCCTAAATAGAATGAACGCAATATTGACGGCGCTCTGAAAGAAGTAACAGTAAAATAGTTTATCGTAGAAATAGGTATTTATTTCTTGTTCTTAATACGATACTGCGCCATGCAAGCTGCTATTTTATTTTTACCGCCGAAAGAAGGCAGCGTGGGCAATACGAAGAACAGAAATAAGTCGTGCAATTAGTCTTGGGATTTGTAGCAACATTGTTTCCAATGTCGCACCAATATTGCTGGAATTGTGAATTTACATATTCTCGAAATCAAGTAAATTCGAATGCTATAAAAAGTGAGTGGAAATATCGTTCGTCGCTACGATTTCAAAACAAAAATAGTACCTATATTTCATAAATAAGTAACTAAGTGTAAACGATAACTTCGAACTTAACTCTAAAACGATACACACAGATTCATGCGAAAACAATAAGTTCGAATTTACAGATAAATATGAGTGATGTCGTCTCGAAAAACACAATTTTATTAATATTACAAGTAAATTGAGAAACTGGGTCAAGAATGTTCGATTATTATTGCCAAGGAAGCAGAAAATTCTATATAAAGAATCTCTTCAAAAGCTAAAGATTTAACCGATTAAAAACCTAATGACACAAATAGTATATACATTCCACAACAATTTGGTTTACACTTTATGAGCGATCAGTACACCGACAGTGTACATATACTCGACGACATTGCTTTAAACATTGCTCTCCCAATTTCTCCACTGTTTATGCCGTGTACGCACATTCGATTAACTGTATTCTGATCCAATGATACCAATGGTTAACAAAATTAAACGCAACAACCTCAGTTTCGTGTTCATCTTCCGAAATAATTGAAATCTAATTATATCTTTAGTCGAAAGAAACGACAGGTTCGTGCTGACTCGATAACAGAATTTGGATATTAACGCAATTACGAAAAGGGCACTTGCAACTCGACGAAGTGTCCTCTTGTATCGTGTAACGATATAAATGGAATAAAAAATAATTAGACTTCCAACGGAATTCTAATTTGTGTGATAGGTCCTGCGTATTCGTAATGGTACGATCCATGTACATTATCCGCGATTCTTTATATGAACACGTTGGAACACGGTAAAATATATGTGCATATAACTATTTAAGAATTATTACAGAGCCGCTATCCTGTATCCGTTTACATTACATATATGTATATGTATATGTATATGTATATGTAATATGTATACATGTATACGGTGTTCTGAAAAATGGCAATACAAATGAAAAACATAGAAATTTCTCAAAAAGAGGAACCCTCTTGTAATCACCTATTGAGGTTACGATGAAATACAAGTGCAGCTGTGCGTTTTGTTAAACATTCTTGAATGGATGACAAAGCTGCCGTGCAAATTGGACATTTCAATCGTGACTTGATTGAGAAAAAAAGAAACGTTTTTTTTTTCTTCAATAATACAGAAATCTTACATGTTTCGCTTGTACCATTGTATTTTCGGCACACCTTATACAATGTATATAAATGTATATATATATATATATATATATATATATATATATATTATATATATATCCATATACATATATATATAATTTTGTGGATAGCGAGTGTCCATCTTTCTCTCTTGCTCATTTTCCTTCTTTTCTACATTCTTACACTCCTTTTTCTTTTCATTTCATCAATCTCGAATGTGTACCGAAGGGCAGTAACCCAATTATCTGTTTTTTTTTTGTGTTTTGTTCATTCTTCGTTTACGCTTACGCCATACCGATCTCAGGTGTAAGACTTAGTAAGTGGTCAACAATAAGAAGCACAGTTTTAACAAGTAACGTTTGTTGTCTCTCTCACACATAGATCCCATTCACACTATGTATTTTTTCACATATACATATACACAGATGTATGATACGCATACATACATTCATTCTCTCTCTTTTGTTCTCCCTCCCTCTCCTCCTACCTCCTGCTTTGCCTGCTATAGCCCGTTCTTTTTGTCTTGTCCCCTTCTCTTTCATTCACTATAGTTGTTTTACTATGAAAACTTACTCTATCCAGATTGCTCAATGATCTATCGAGTAATCGAAGAGTTTTGTATGGAGCTTTTATCATCTTTTTTTTTCTATTGATTCTTGCATTATGTCTGAAATAAGAAGAAAAAGACTGTTATAGAAATTATGGTGAAAATTGATGTTTAAGAAAAGTAAATTTCTCCTGTAGGCCGAGGTATGGTCCTTTCATCGATAAGTAAACGCGCGTCTAGGGTGTCGGGACGCGCAGACTAACAGAAACACGAGGAGATAAATTAATTAAAAAATTAATTGTACACATTGGAGAATAGGTTTCAATTTACCAATAATGTTAGATTATGTCTGAAGGGGTTAGTAAGCTGGTGCTTGGAAATCAGGCATCCGTTGTTGTTGTTGCTGTTGTTGTTGTTGGCCGAAAGGCGGGTCCTGATAACCGGTATCAGTTGCGTCAGGATAACTTGTGTAGCCTGTTCCCCCAACAGGGTCTGCTTCGTAACTAGGTGCGAACGCAGCGTCAGTTCCTTGTTTAAATCTTTGGAAGGCGAACCAGGCACAGGCGGCCTATCAACATTAAGAAGAATATATTATATCCAGTATGAAAAGTATATATTTGAAATAAGATTTATATTTTTCTATTCAAAGCTACTTATTATTTCGTAGGGATTACTTTTAAATTCTGCACATTGACCGATAATCTACGGAAACAAAAGAAAATGTTTAACCCATGTACCCAGGTGAAAATGGAGAAGAAGCTGCAGGCGTTAGCACTTTCGACATTGGTCACTCCATAGTTATTTTCTGGCGTTTTCGATTTGTTCCAAGCGTTAGTTAAATAACAAAATCCAACGAAGTAAAGGAATGCCCAGAAACCTGAAAATCTGCAAATGAAAACTGAGTTTATATCCTGTTTAAAAACAAAACTATACATCAATTACATAAGTAACACTGTTAAATAATTCATTCTATATTTGAGTCAGAAAATGTAGACCATTCAAGGTCACTGAACAAGCCTATCCTACATCATTTGATCTTTCAATAACATTTCAACAAAATGTTAATTCAGATTCTTGAAATAACATTTTGAGCTAAGTACTTATTAAGTCCTTTGCTCTACCAATATTAGTTCCTACAAAGTCTAGAGAAAGTGAAGTAACTGTCCTACTGTAAGTAAAGATGGGCAAATTTATCATCTATATACACACACTTTTTAATTCTTGAATAAAAGATCAAAAATGAACATTTTAATCAATTACCCAGTACTATTATCAAATTAACAAGGTCTACACGTAGATAATGGATAGACTGTGTATGTTTATGTAAATTCGCATTTTAATAGATTATTAAAAATTAATACATATAACAGTTCAACTTAATTTTTACAATAATTGTTACGTGTTGTCGGAATATTATTGTACCTATTTCTGACTCAAGCCAAGAAGGACATAAGGTAGTATGTAGTAGCCTAAGTCAAGAAGGATAAAGTTGGTAACAGTACCCTAAGTCAAGAAGAACAAAGTGCTTCCTGGTCTTAACAGAGGACATCTGCTCGAAAAGGTATTCCCCGACGAGGAATCCGATGCTGGCAAGGAAAGCAAGGACTCCGATCGCTATCCCGTAATTGCAAGCGTTGTGGTCCTCGTTGTAGAGGCACACTTCTTTTCCGTCTGCCCTTCGTATGTACCCCTTGTTGCTTATGCATCCGAACACAATTATCGCGAGCAGCTGCAAAATCAAATAGCAACTTTGCACCTTTCAACGGATATCTGTTTATCGCCTTAAAATAAGAAAATTAAAACGGATTAATACTTTTTTGAAATTCTAATTTCGCGCCATTTTCTGTATAATATCCGACGCAAAAATAGAGATAACGTTCGAGGACAGAACAATTCAACACGAGAGAGACATTAAAATTCCTCATAAAACGTGTTGTACATTCGATGTACATGTACTTGCTACATTCGAACTTTACAGTCTTGAAAGAAGACTTCAAATCGATTCGACAGAAATATTCGCCTTATCGACAGTTTTCTCCTTACATGAAATCGAATCCTACGTTCGACTTGGTCCACATCCGCGTTGGCATCAAAATGGATCGAACATGACAACTCTGAGACACAAGTACTTGATAAAAAAGAAAACAGGGGAAATTCAATTCTAAGACGGTAGAGGTGAAATAAACGCGATTTATTTCTTTGTTTATGTAAATTACAACAACGAAAAAAGTGTATAACTTGTGACTTTCAAAATAAATCGATTGCTACATCATTCTTAAATAAATTAAAAATAATAATATGTACAGAGAGTAATTAAACAGACTGTTATATTAGTAGTTACTTAACTATATTTAGAAACTTTACAATTTTATCAGAATTTCTTTAACTTTTAGACTTGAAAAAGTAATCAATGCCATTGAACCTTTAGAATGCAATACTTCTTAATATTTAAATGCAAATCATCCGAAAGTATGTAAGAATTTTTTATTTTTATAAATTTAAATACAAATGATCATAAAAGAATGTTGAAACGGCAAAATGTACATAGGTACTATACATATATGTATAATATAATAATAAAAACACATCACATAAGCTAAATAAAAATAAAAACCGTTTCAAAATTCAATACTTCTCATTGTTGAAAGAAAATCGCCGAAAAATTCAATTCAAAGAAAAAAAGCTTCAACCTTAACGAAACAGCACTTCTAACGACAACTGCGTCTAAAGTAATTTGAGTACTACGAAATTTGCACAATCATTAATTCCTCGAAGCATAGAACATCAATTGGATGTTCCCTATTTGGAAACGATTTCCTATATTTCAAGTTGCAATTAGAATCTCGTTAAAACCGCACGTAGCTTCCACTTCGAATGACGCCCCAAATCGATCTCAGTATCTCCTTCACATCTCATTTGCTTTAACCAGAAACTGAAAGCGAATCTCTCTATTAAAAACCGCGTGCGATTTCCGCGACTTAAAATCCACGAGATTCACTTTGTGTTCCAATGTACGGTAAAGGCGACAGAAAAAACACTTTGAATATCCAAATTATTCTAATTAATAATCGACCGCTACAACAAATGGATGTTGAACAAAAAAACAGTAATCAATGGACAACGAGCAACGGAATCCTATATTATGGGGTGTATTGCAAGAATTCACGAAAAATCAATAGAACCCCATCGTGTCGAGTTAGAGGGGCGGGGGGGGGGAGGGTAGCGGTTCACCCTTTAAAATCAATGCTCAACGCGTAAATTCGACATTTCTCCTGATTCGCGAAAACGTCGCCTAGAAATATGGTTAGGTGTCGGTTTTCCGATTGCATAACTTACCAAACATACTGCTCTCAGGATGACTTGAGGCCTTCGAACGAAGGCAATAGGGTCGAAAGGGGCTCCGGCCTTTCCTCCACCGTACGCTCCACCGTCCATCTTAGTGCGACTGAACTGAAATTTGAAAGCTCGAAACTGATCGAACCGCGCATGCGCTGGGAAAGGTAACCTTTTTCTTCTCCCACCACCTGGCACTTTTGGGGTGGATCCTCTCACAAGGGCGCTTCGCGCGGATGGAACGTAAGTTAAAGCGAGAGGTCGATCGCTTTCGATCGATCCAACGATAACTGTAGACTGGTGACTTTTCCAGTATATCTACATAACATAGTGGATAGTGGTCCGTACAGCAGCGCCAATTGCTATACATCCGTCATGTTTCCGTAAGTAAACGCAAGAGGGAAATTTGAATTATATATTTCTTTATATGAATAACTTGTACCAGACTTGACAAGGAGCGAAATTTATTTAAACTAAATATTTTAAATAACAGAGGGAAATGAAAAAAAGACTGTCTATATTTGTAATGATTTGTACACTGTTTTTGTCAATCAAGTAACACATGTTTTTAGTACTACTAGTGTTACTATGCCTATTCCAGTTATCAAAATACAAAATCGTTGAATATTGTTACGTTTTGGTTTTACTCTTACCTATAAAAAATAATAGACATTTAATTACATTATTTAGCATAAAACAGACCTATTTAGTATCATTAATTACACTTCGATGTTAGAACTATCAAAACATACTCCTAAAATTAATTCTTCCAGCTCGTACAAATTTTGCTTTGCTTCCTCTAATTCTGTCAAAGTAGCATTAACAGCAATAGGTAATATTTCAGAAGCACTTAAACTCTTATTGGGATTAACAAAGATATTAATTCTTTCCTTCTTAAGCCTTAGTCGACAATATGAGACAAATGCTTGTATAAGAGATAACTGTTGTTCACCGTGCTTAATTATTTCAAGAAAATGTTCAAGCCTAAAAATTTTGGATATTTTTAATTAGTCGAAGTCTTCAAAATCTGATATTTTCTAAAAAATCTATACGAATTTAATAATATAAAGTTCTACCTGTCCTGAATATTTGTTACTACAACACCAGACCTTCTTCCCTTTATATTTAAAGCATTTCTTATCTCTTCCGCTTTTTTGGAATCAGCACCTATATTAATATCATTTAGATTAATTACCAGGCACATAACTATAAAGACTTTCGAATTACCTAACATTATTAATTCCTCTGTAGTAAGTTCATGCAGTGTGTCAGTTGATATATTTCTTTTCTTGCATTCTGGTATTAACTCAGGTACACCCAAGCCACGCAATAAAGAAGCTGTTTGTTTAGTAAAACTGAAGGGACTACAATAATTATCCATGATTTCAAGTGTAATCCTGAAAATCGTAAATACAACAGTCTCTGTAACATATTTTATAGAGAACGTAAAGACAGAAAGTAGGATCATAGAACCCCTGGAGCATGCGTAAGAGACCCCATTTTTTTTAGTGTGAGATGTACCTAACCCAGCCCCACACGGGGTTTCTTACGCATGCTCCAGGGGTTCTATGACCCCACAGTCCAGACCAGTCCAGACATACGGGGTCTCATTCGCATGCTCCGAGGGTTCTACGACCCCACATCTCAGACCCACGGTGTCTCATGCGCATGCTCCATGGGTTCTATGACCCCCCTTATCAAGCTATAACAGGTCGATACTCGCCATTCGATACGAGTGCCTTTGTTCGATACCTACTTGATATCGCAACCGCAGGTATCGAAACAAAAGTATCGAGTAATGTACTCGTATTTACATGTATCGATACTTTTACTGCTCACCACGTGGGTTTACTATTTGCCTTCCGATGATTAATATGCGCATTTCAAATTTCGTGTAATAAAGGTAAATCAATATAATGTGAACAATAATCGGGTATACTATGAAAGTTGAAATTGTTGACGGTAATAATTCTTGATAAGAGGTTTTCATAAGTAAAAGACCAAAGCGCCAATGAAACAACGTAGATAACCAGATAATTATGAGCCAATCGCATTATCGTTCGCATGAACTCGACATACCTTGAAAACGCTCAATGAATGTATAGAAATGAATTCAATATGAACTGGGTCTTATACAAAGCCAAAATACAATTCGTGGTTTCTAAAGTGTTAAAAAATCACTGGACATCTCTGTCGAAGCACGGGATACCTAGTGGCATGGAGGAGGTCGTGCTCGACAGGCTCGACAGGACCGACGGAACAAGTGTCTGTGTACAAGATGGCGGCACCCGGGGCCTTAACTGTCGTGAAAATCGCCAGGAAGTAACCCGTAAACGGAAGCCGCGCGGTGTCGCAGCGAGCCGCGGATCCCCGCTTCGAAGGATGTGATCCGAGGAAGAAGAAGAAGAAGGCCGAGTCCGGGCCAGAGGAGCCTTTTTCCACGCTGCCACGAGGAAATTCGGATAATCCAACTTCCTCGGGCGAGTATCGCGATCTTCGTGGCCACGCCGACGATGGAGCCCAGGGAACGTTACCAAGAGCTCTGCCGACTTTGCGCATCCTACGACGCCGTCAAAATGGACATCTTCGGTCAAGAGGGCAAGAATAGACAGCTCGTTGACAAGATACAGGCCTGTCTACCATTCAAGGTTCGTCGTCCTTGTTGTCGTCGTCGTCGTCGTCGTCGTCGTCGTCGTCGTCGTCGTCCCTATACGCGATTAACACATTTCTCCGCTACCGAGTTTTCCTTTCATGTTCTGTCGGGTCGGTCGTTCGAAGATAATGCTCTCTTTTTCGACGATACCTAAACATCCCGGATCCACTGGGCATTCAATTTATTTCTGACAGAAACGTGTATCTGTTAATGTCGCCCACTCGGCTTGACCCGATTTTGTTTTGTATTTTGTTTCTATTTTTTGACACACTTTCGAAGTCACTTTAAGACGTTTTATCAGCTTAACTAGGTTCTACGGAATTTTTCCTTCCTAAATTATTCAATAGCTCGAAAAACATTTGTTTTAATTTTTTTCTATGCTTATTGCAAGATAAACAAGTGATTTGTGAAAGGGTTTTGACTTTTTTGAGAAACTTTTAAGGAACTTTCTCAGTCATATCCATTTGTCAATATTTAGATTTAGAAACAATGAACCTGTAATTTAGTTGCATAAAATTTTAGAGGTAATCAAATTGTTAATAGAAATTACAGAATGTAGGGTAAAGTAGTGGTTCATAAATGAAGTAGAATTTATTTGGAATATTTTCTTAAAAGTATATATGTACAAAATATGCATTTATTTGGTTTATTTATATAAGTATGTATTGTTTTATGTAGAAACGATTATGGATTTAGTTCAGGTATCCAATTTACTCGTGTAAGAGTTAAAATGAGCATTTAGTTTATTAATTTGTCACTTTCATCATTTCCAAATATTCCCATAATGCAATTATGTGTAATAATTTGCATTAAAAAATTCTTATTTCCTACCTTCTTTATTACCTTTGAGTCGATAAATTTATTTACTTCCAAACTACAACATTGTTTGACAAATACATCTAATACACATATTAAGACACGTACCAATTTGTAGGCAACTAAAAGGAATTAATGGAAGATATTTGAAGATACAAAAATTTAAATAGCAGTCATTTTTTATATGTGTAGCTATGTGTAAAATTGTCCTTGTTGCTGTTATTTGTATGTGAAAAGTTTGAATTATTCTGTAAACTTATTGCTATTAATTAGTACAGATTCTTAAGAAATGTATTTCTTTAAAGGAAAAGTGAAATATTTGCTTATTAAGTTTGCTTTTTTCAATTGTCCGTTTTTGAGTTGTCTTTGTTCTATCTATTTTAAAATATAATAATTCATTTTCTGTGATTCTTTAGAATCTTTGCTGACTTGCAAAATATTTATTTCATTATCTGTATCAATTGAGACATTTAGAAAATTCATAAATACAAGATTTATGTTTTTCTTTTGACTTTATATAATTAATCTTTTGCAGTATGTATTTTGAAAAACTGACTCTGTACGGCAATATTTAAAAAGTTCCGTTAATTTATTATTCTCGTATTATTTATATTTTTCACATTAAGTATATAGGTATTCTTGGGTTTGCAGTTATATAATTGTGATGTAAATTACATAATGCCAAATATATATTAGCAAAAATGATTTTCATACTAATATTTAAAGAATAAAATGTTCTGCTTATATGTGTATTATAATATTTATATTATTTACATGTGTGGAAATTACATATGAGGTATACATCCGTTTACTATTACCATTAATATTGAAATGTTTAATTACAGATTGCAGAAGATGATCGACTACCAAAATGCCTCTGTTACCGGTGCATGTACAATTTGGAAAATTTCTATGATTTTAGAACAGCATGCGTCAATGCAGTGGCCCTCTTGGAAAGATGTCTACCACCTTCAGAAAAGGTGAAATTCTTTGCCTGAATATTTATTAATTCACAAAGCGATGAATATTTAACAAAGAAAGTATCCTACATTGATCAGTAAACGTATAATCGGTTAGAAAATATAATTCAAAAAAATGTTTCTTGTACTTTTATTTAGGCTGATGGTGTTACAACCACCCTAATGTGCTTCAATGACGCAGAGCTCTTGAAACAGAAGGAAAGCATACCTATGTTGATCCCAGAGGCACCCATTGTAAATCCAAATGCTGCTTTAGGCACACCACCCAGATTAAATTCTGATGGGGAGGCGGAACACGAGGCGGAAGAAATTGTTGATAACAGCGGCACAGATGAAGGTACTTTTACAATTTTAACGTATTATGTGATAAGTAAAATGCAATTGTCAAATGGAGAGAAAATGCAAGGAAATACATTGAACGAAATATTATAATGTATTGAAATTTGTTCAAGTTTCAAGTAAACATGTCCAAGATGAAAAAGTGAATATATCTGTTTTGTTCTTTTGCTTAAGCAACAATAGTGGATGAGTCTGAAGATCGTCGTTCGGAAGAATATGAAATGGATATGGAAACAAATCCAAGTGATTTTTTGGAAATGACTTCGATAGTTACAGAAGAACCTGAAGAACCAGAATCAAGGCATCGCGAACATTCTGGTAACGTCCCGGAGGTATGTTACAAAATTTAAAAGAAGCAGTCTCTGTTCGTCGCTGTACTGTAATCGATGACTTGTATTATTGCAGATCACGTCTCAGCAATACGAAGTTTATGTTTGTTCGTTGTGCAACAAAGCATTCAGTTCAAAGGGTCATTTATCTTTGCACGCGCGTATTCATGTCGGGGCCGGTGATGTGATTGGTGAAAAAGTTCTTACAGACGATCACACTTCCTACAAGAGACCATATCAATGTGATCTTTGTCATAAATCTTATTCGACCGCAAAGCATCGTTGGGGCCACGTTTCAACAACTCATAGGTTTGTTCCTAATATCTCGGTACATTTACGTTAACTAGTTTTCTGATCATTATTTTTACGTTATTTTTACATTATTTTCTACAATAATGCGAACCGTTGCAACTATCACGGCAAGAAGTCCATAAGTATAGTCATACAGAGGACGAACGATATTCTGAAAAGACGCGGTGGAAAATGTGTAAAATGTAACGTGCGCATTTATACCAGAATGATATCTCGATAATACCCAATGACGATGTAATAATGTTTAAATTAGAGGCCATCCGGCAGTGACGTGCGGTTACTGTTCCCGGATCTACTCAACCCGAACGAATTTGGAGGAACATATAAAATCACGCCACGCTGGTCTTCCAGCGCCCATAAAGATTCCTGCGAACAATACCTGTCGACAAGAGACCAGATACCAGTGCAATCCTTGCGGGAAAATGTGCATAGATGCCACGGAATTGAATCTCCATGGAAGGATCTGCATTGACGAGAAAAGGTCAGATCATTTGGCCAGGAATGAGAACAGGGATACTAAAACAATGGACAGTTCTGAGGGATCAAGTATCATTGGTAGTGATGAAGATAGCAAAGACTATAGGTACAGTTTCTACCGCTGTTGGAAAAGATTGTTCAAAATGTTTAATGATTTCACGAGTACTTGAATTGTTATACTATTTTTCAATCGCACTTTGTTTACATTTTTGTCAGGAGCGCAGAGGCAAAGCTAGCTAAAAATCCTCAGCTGACGATCTTGAAGCAAGCACTAACGAAAGGTGATAGTCTGAAACGAGACTTTGAAGATAAATTTATGACAAATTGCAAGCCAAAAAAACTGCCAAAAACAGGTAACCTTGGTATTAAAATACACATCTTTGTAGTTATGAATCGATAAAAATTAAATTACTTTCGTATGGAAGACACGTCGATTTAACTTATATCCGTAATCATTCTGTTTAACAGAAAACACAGATGCGAAGAGTGATAAAAAGTGGTACTGTGAATGTTGTTCTCAATTTTTCACCTCAGTCGAGAATTTGAAAGAGCATGAGGTAGTTCACGACGGGGACAAACCGTACATCTGTATTCTCTGTAAAAAAGATTTTGTTCTCAAGTCTTCCCTGAGTAGACATATTCAAACGCTACATGGCGTTGACCCGTTGCCTATTATAGAAAGCGATAAGTGTTTAAAGAAGATTGTTTCACGGAATTGGAATGAATCTATGGACCTTGAATACGAAGGAAAAACGTCGGAATTTCCATTATCTCCAGAGGTATATCGTTAACATACATACATGCATAGATGTAATACACCTAAGCTCTTCTTATGTCTAGACTTTTCTTTACAATGAAATTTCAGACGAATGCTGAAAATGAAGAAGAGGACCATGAGAGCGGACAAGAAAATCTTATCGAAATCGAAACGGTATTTGTCTGTGAGATCTGCACCCGTGACTTTAACGATCGTGCATCACTTTGGCTTCATATTCGGGCTACTCACAAAGAATTCGCAGCGTTCGCGTGCGGCGTTTGTTTGAAAATCTGTGCGGACAATACGCAACTTTTGAATCATGTAAATATGTATCATGGTGGATCAAAGTTATTGCTTTCTGAACAAAGAAGGTATGGTACTAATAATTTTGCCTAATTGTTGAATCGATTCAATATTGAAACTAAATCGTATTTTCGTTATTGATAGGTATAGCTGCACGATTTGCGGGAGACAACACGACTCAAGAAAGAAATTAATCGCGCACGTATCTATACACAGTGTTGATTCAAATTATGATCCAGCAACTTTTGTGCAGTTGAACAGTAATTATTATGGAGAGAATATTAACGGCACGGAGACTACAGAAACGATGCTTGATTACGAAGAGGAAGGAGACAAAGTAGACTGTTATATTTGTTATAAATCGTTTCCAAACGAGGATCATTTAATACGGCATCAAAGAAATGCACACAGGGTGAGAATTTCAATGACACACAAAATAAAGTTAAAAAGAAATAAGAATTACCTTTGTTTATATATTATATTTAACGAAAACAGTGACGCGAAAAGTTATTTCGGCACGGAACAGTAATAAATTCGATTTCTTTCGTTAAAATTTGCTAATTTTTCAGTCGGAACAATTAATGCCAGCGGGAGACTCGTTGAATTCGTCTAATTTAAACGGCGGTGGAAACCGTGCCCAGTACCATCTGTTCTTTGTTTGTGAACTTTGCGGGAGTTCGCATCCCAGCAAATGGGAACGCTGGTTACATGTCAGTTCTTCTCACGCCAATGAAGCAGCCATAAAATGTGATCGCGAGGATTGCGGTAAAATATTTGCCACAAAGTCCCTTAGGAATGATCACGTTCAGCATCATGCGATTCAAGGCTCGTCCCCGAACACATGTGAAATTTGCGGGAAACTGTGGGGTAGCAGAGTCGATTATTGGAAGCACGTGATGGGCGTTCACTCGGACACCGTTCCGCTGATCTGTGGTGTTTGTCTGAAAGTCTTCCCGAACGTGATGCAATTAAGCGGTCACGTGAAATCGAAACACTGGCCGTTAACGAACGGTGATTTTAGTTGTGATATATGTGGTAGGCCGTACTCGAACAAATCGAAAATGTCCAGGCATAGAAAAATCCACGGTTTCGAGGAGAGCTGCGACAACAACGGCGCGGAGAACAGTGAACGTAAAGCGGACGGCCGAATCAGAGAAACTGAGCTCAGTTGTGAGCATTGCATGGATTTGAAGTTTCCTAGTTTAGAGAAGTTGTCTAATCACAGACGAATCGTGCACGGACTGTTTCCCTGCGATCTATGTAATAAATGCTACGGAAGAACTTCGCATTTGTGGAAACACGTCAACAGAGTTCACAAGGGTCACGAGGACATCACTTGTCCTTATTGCTTGAAAACCAGCGCATCGAAGGTGCATTTGGCCGGTCACATCTCGAAAATCCATAGATACGCGCCGGATTCTAGGGAAGATGGTATAGATGGGAAAGATACAAGACAATTATTGAAGACCGAGGAGGTTAGTTTGCATTATTGCGAGAAATGCAACAAAGGATTCCACAAGCGATATCTGTTGCGCAGACACATGAAGGGATGTCAGAATTATAGAAAGGATCCCGGTGCGTTGTTGACGAGATGCAGAGCCTGCGAAAGAATTTTCAAAGATCGCGCCAGTTTACAAAAACACATCGAGAATCATCACAGCACTTATGCTTGCCATCTCTGCAACGAGACCATCACCTCGAAATTAGGAATCATGACGCACAACAGAGTCAAGCATATGGATCACCCTGATTTGACTTGTAATTTCGGTGCTTGCAGAAAGCTTTTTAGAACGAGGGAGGATCTGGAGGCCCACAAAAACGACCACAGATATCACACAAATCCAAACGTTTGCGATTTCTGCGGCGATACTGTTGAGAACAAATTGAAATTAAAGATGCACGTGCTGTCCCTTCATCGTAATGAAATCGGCGTGTCTTGCGGGGTGTGTTTAATTCCAATGAAAGATCCGAAAGAACTGAAAAGCCACGTGGAGCAGGTTCATTCTAGCGTACTTTCAAGACCAAACACTTGTCAAGTATGCGGTAAACAATATGCCTCGAAATGGAAAGCTTTCGATCATACGAAAAAATGTCACGGCAAAGTGTTCCGAACTTGCAAACAGTGTTTAGCAGTTTTCACCGAAGATACCGCCATAAGAGATCATTACGAGATGGTACACAATATTTCGAAGGATCAGCTTGCTGCATTTGAATACAGATTGGATATTCGATCGAAAAATGAAGATTTCGAAATGGAGGTAATTCGATAATAATTATAAGTACAATTTTCTATGTAGAATTAACGAATGAACGGTAATAATTGTTTCTTGTTTGGTTCACACTAGTCGCCTGATATTATTGTTAAAGAAGAGCCGGACGATTTGGAGTACGATATAGATCTCTGTGACGAGGATTCCAGCGATTCAAAAAGAAGAAGATCCTTGACCGATACTTTCGACTGTGAAATGTGTCCTGAGATGTTTTTGAACAGTGACGCCCTTTCGAAGCATTATCGTAACATGCATAATACAGATCCAGAAAGGATGTTCAAGAGATTGAAACAGGAAGAACAAAGAAGAATGCGTGCAAAAATGAGTTTTCTTTGTAAGAACTGTAAGAGACAATTTTCTACAAAGACATTGTATTGGAATCACGTCGCAACCTGTAGGAGGAGCGCTTCGCGAAAAAAAGTAATATTGTCGTTAGAAAACTTTGTTTATGCGAAAGAACAACTGTATATATTCTTGCTAATTCATGGATTTTTTCCGTTTTATACAGGAAGATCATTTGCCTTTGCGGAACGATATGTCGGATAATCAGGAAAGTGTGCTCGATAACCGAGAAGAAATTTTAAAGAATAATAATCAAATTAAACAAGAAGAAACTACGTCAAATTTGAACATTCCTGATTTCAATCTATTCGAAGATATAAATCTTCAGTTATCAGGCCAAAGACCTCTTCCAAATCTGATGCCGCTATCCCAAAGGTAAATGTTATACAATATAAAGATCTCCTTTTCCTTTTTCGATTTTTATGTTACACGTCTACGTATCTATGTATTACTTCAGGGTAAAGCCATCGATGAAATGTTCGAGAAAAGATTCTAGAAAAGTCTACGATGAATCAACAAATACGGAATGCGCTTGTGAAGTTTGTGGAAAGCAGTGGCCAGCAAAGAAACATTTATGGCAACATTTAATTCGTTTCCATCGAGCAGAAGCTGCAGTCACTTGCGGAGTGTGCCTGAAGCTTTGCAAAGATTATAATGATTTAGCTGATCATTTGAAAGCCACGCACGAAGCAATCTTGTCTTGCGAAGGGAACAATTTTACGTGTAAAACTTGTGGCAGGTATTGAGAAAATCGAGACAGTTTCAATTGACCCATTCTAACGAATCAAAGTTCGGGCGTTCCCATAATCCATATCGTATTCCTTCTGTAACAGATATCACAACGCACGCAGCAAGCTATTACTACATACAAGTATTCACATTGGACACGCGAGTAATGGAGTCACGTGTCCAAAGTGTCACAAGAATGTCACCGACGAAACTGATCATTTTAATACCTGCACTGGTAAAATTGAAGAAGAAGAAGAAGAAGAAGAAGAAGAAGAAGAAGAAGAAGAAGAAGAAGAAGAAGAAGAAGAAGATTTGAAGGACGAGGAGAAGCCAGAAGAAGTATGTGCTAATAAAAATATTTTATTTCTTTTTTTAATTAATGTTTTCACTTTAATTTCTATTAAACAGGGAAGCCTGATAGCGGATGATGCAATGGTAGAAGAAGTGGAGGAAGGGGACTTTGAGTCCGAGGCTGAAGAAGCGGACACGGAAGAATCTGATAGTGGCAGTAGTACGGAAGCTGAAGAAGAAAATGATTCCGAGGGTGAGTCCAGAGCTACCGGAGAAATTACGTACAACTCGGACAGTGAAGATTCCGAAGAGTTAGATAATATAGAAATACAGGAAAAGAGTATGCAGCATTTCGCTTTGAAACGTCTTCAAGCATCCAACGAAACAGGTAAGCAAGTGCAATGTTAATTATTACAAAAGAACGAAACTTGACCAAATTATTTAAATTTTCAGAACCAGAGAAAAATGACGGTTTGTCGGATGATGATGGACCTCCGGTTCTCAGTCCCATGATGCCTCTATTGCCTGAAAACATATCCGACGAACAATCAATGGGTCATAAACTTGGTTCGATAGTAACGTTAACAGAGAAAGATATAGATATGTGTGATTTAACAGAAATTCAAAATCAGTCATCTCCCAAGTCAATGAATTTCTATGAAAAGGGCTTGTCCACCAATGAATCGTTGAATTTCGAGACTGAAGCGTACATAAATCGAAGTGACGATGATTACGATGATACCAAAAATGAGTACGATGAAAACTCTATGGAGGGGAACGACGAGGAAAATGAAGATAACGAAGAGACGGAAGGGAATGAAGAGAACGATGACAATGACGAAATCGGGCAGAATGAGGAAAACGACGGAAATAATGAGATAGAAGTAAATGAAGAAAGCGACGAGGGAAACGAATTAAATGAAGAAACAGAAGACATCGAAGAGAATCGATTGAATGAAGAAATCGAGGATGACGAAGATAATGAGGAAGATGAAGAGAATTATGAGAATGAAGATAATGAAGAAATCGAAGAGAATGAAGGGAGCGAGGAAATTGAAGGAAACGAGGAAAAAGAGGACGGTATGCAATTGGGTGATTTAGAAGGCGCTGTACTAATGGTGACCGAAGGAAATGAAATATTAATACAACAGAATATTTTGGAGAATGGAACTGAAAACGTCAATCAAGCGTATGTGTATTCTACGCTTGCATACAGTTCAGAAGAAGACAGTGATGACGAGGGGAAATGAGTGCCAAATTGTGATTAAGTAATTTGAAAAAAAGAAGAAGAAAAAGAAAAGTGAGACAGTTATTGCACACGTTGTTTCAAGAGTCAGGAATACGTGGAAATGAGTGCAGGAAATGTTAATACATATTGTGGGCTTGAGTTAATCACCAACTACTCGGGTTGCAGGGAAACAACACCTAAGAAAGTAATTTTTGTTTTTCCGTTCATAGTGTCTTAGTATAATTAACAATCGAATTTACAAAATATTTTTAATAGTATTAAAAAACATGTTGAAACGCCGAAGTACACGACATGATATATTTTATTTAAATAACATGGTAAACAATACAAGATTTTAGAAATCATACGGTCTCTTCAACGTCAAGTATTTAAATTTTTCTATTAATCAGAATGCTTATAATTTTAAACATTTTTCCTGTTGCAAATATAAACTTACAATTAATATCGCTCAGAACATATCCACGTATTCTTAAAATTTATTAAAACTGCGATCGGGATTTGTATTGATTTATTCTGTACAGAAAAAATAGAGATGAAGTGTTACGATTTATGGAAATTCATACGAATGTTGCGATACGACGTGTAAATATATTTAGATTAAGCGGTAAAGTTAGCTTTCGCAGATTTTTCTGGTAGGGGGACCGTTCTTTCATTATGTCAAATTAGCTAGACCGAGGGGTATCAGTGAAGTTTATAGTGGGTATATACATACTATAGGAATAGGGAGACCAATGAGAAATTAATATAAAAACAGAGTGGGATTGGACTAAGAATACGTGCATGAACAAACACGTGTATTGGATGAGGGGAGGAAAGTAACAATGACCAAGATCAGTGTGATGTAATAAAAGAACAAAACCCCTAAGCTCTCCTAACGGATTTATTATTAGGTTTTTTTTTTATCTATTTCGACTTTACGGGCGCAGATCCGATTCGATCTTAAATCATTTGAGGTTATTCGATCGGTATTGATATCTGTTTATCAAAATTTTCCTTTTCTATATAAAATTTTGTCCAAGCGCAAATAGTACAAATATAGCAATATGCAGCATTATGGTAATATTAGAAGAATAATTAACGCTATAAATACTAAAACGAATTCCTTAAATTCTACTAAAATAATAAGGTGGAATCATTTTGTATCTATTTAGTATTTTTTTTATCATTTCGGTATTATATTAATATCGATTCGATTGAATCTGCCGCATGGGAAATTTCAAAATCGAGGAGGATCGAGGAGGATCGAGGAGGATCGAGGAGGATCGAGGAAACACAGAGCAACTTATAGTGTATATAGTAGTCATGTAAGTAACTCCGTGTACAGCTACGTTATACTATGCGAAACGAGAAAACGCATATATTTGCTGCGTGTATGAGGGAAAGCATGATCATAGTGTGTGACAGAAAGGAAAGGGCTAGCTTCTATCACTTTTTTACCATCTCGTACGTTTAAAATGTTCAAGGAGAAACTGATGATATCGCTTCTATTTTCCAAATGAAAGTGTCGAATAACTGCGTACGCTAATAATAAACAAAATTATTTCTGATACATATATCGAACATTTTTCTTCTTAATCATTGCATGGAATTCAAATTGAGCTCAGTTTCTCTCTACAGATGTCGTTCCACTGTACTTTATCGACTCTGGAGTACGTGTATAGCTTTAGTGTATGTAGTAAGTAATATTTTATTTTTTCCTCCTTTTATTTCCTCTTTTTGACCGTGTAGTCATTTCATTCGAGTTGTAATTTCATTTTTCATCCATCATCTTGGTGCCGTTGATAAGGTCCATTGAAAAAAATAAGGAAGGAAAGATCGAATATAATTTTCTGTTTCGGTTGATCAATTATCCCACGGTTATTTCCGTTAACTTTCTTTTAACAGTTTTTTCTCTTGTTTTGTTTTATTATTTATTGGAGCATTTGCTTCGTTTTCGGCGCGATAGTAAATAAGAAACGAAAATGGCAATTCGCATTTAACGTTTGTAACGATTACAATAAAAACGACTATAAGTTGTTTAATTTCTTATTTTTCATTTCAATCCTGTTTGCTTATTTAATTCCATGATTTTCATTGCTACATTCACATTTTTTAATCAATTTACTGTGCGTTTAGCCGGCGTTCTTTTATTCTTTCAGTAAGAACAATAATTGGAAAATATTAGAAGGAGTTGCACTAAAAGTGTATTATTTTTATCATTATTACGCGATAATTCATTCCAATCTTAATATATAACACCCTTTACTTTTCTTTCATTAAAGGAACCTGTATCCTGTATGTTTTTTGTAAGTTTATGATAAAACAATTATAATCCAAGCAAATTAAGATTTAAATAAAGTATTCTTTTACAAAACACAGAAGTTTGTAAATTGTGTAGAAAATGTAACAAAAAAAAGTATTGATACACACACGTACGTGAATTTAAAATCATTTTATAAAGTCTAAGATTAAGTTAGTAAAATTCTCAGTATTTTATCTTCAATTGTAGTAAACTTTCAAAGAATTTATTTATTTGCAATTTCATATCAATAAGTAAATAAACAAGTTTTTGTAAGAAAATTGAGCAAGCACGTACTTTTTTTACTCGTTGTATAATAGAAAAAAAATATATCGTTTCTATTTTGTACTAATTTAGACGATCGATTTTATTTTTCAATTGCCTGATATGTTGTTTTATGTTAAATAAAATAATGAAAAAAACACGTAAATAAAGAGTTTGATAGTTTTGTTGGTAGCCTGTAACAGCCTGTAATTTCATATCCGTTGGTTCTTCCTTCGGATGTTCTTACTTTTAAACGGTAGGTTCCCGGAGGAAGATTAAGATGTAGAGGCAGGCGTTAAGCCGACATCGAGCCGAAGTTAATTGCTTTTCCAAAAAGTCGTCGAAGCGTGACTGGGAACCCTCCGCGAGCCTTTACAGGAAACTGAACAATCCAAGAAGAATCTTTCTTATCCTCTCAACATTCAAAAGTGTAGGTACATCAATGTTCTTCAACGTGTAAGAAAAGAGAAAAAGAGC